TCTGGCCTTCTTGCCTCATCCCTTTTTGGCTTACATTCTGTCCAAATTCCATGGGTCATTTGATTTTTCCTTGCTCCTTTTTTCAGACATCAGCCAATACACACACCTGTAAAGTTGAAAATTTGTCTCTTGACACTTACAGATATTCATAGTGTACCATACACAAGCCTACAGAATCTAAATTTTTTATCCTTTCCAGGAAACTGGCCACTCAGGACTTAGTTTGGTTTAAATCAGAACTTTGTATCTTTTACTCTGCTGCATTATGGTTTGTACTACCTTTCATGCCCTGTACAGCACTGTAGAAATCATGAAAACCGCTACACAAATTAGTCAGCAAAAGCCTTGTTTCAAATCCTGCAATGCAGAACCCCCGAGTTTGCAGCAGAACTCTCAGGTTTCTGTCTGCCCTTTGCACACATCTAACCTTTGAAACTACATTGGAAACTGTATTGTGAGAAGTGTGTGTAAAATGAGAAATAAGAGAGGACATCTTCCAGCACTCAGTAAAAAAGCAGGAGTCCTTTCAATCCTGGTTTATGAGGGATCCACTGCATTTCAGAAAACCTGCTGTGGAAATGACTTTGTGACTGACTTCACAGCCAAAATACAAAGCCTTTTAATGCTTCCTCCTTGGTGTCTCAGGTCCAGTGAAAACCAAGCTCGGATAGCAGGGGGGTGGGTGGACAGTTATCTTTAGTGCCTGCCACCTGCAAGATCTCTGGGAGAAAGTGACATCGGTTGTCAGAGATGAGGTTGCAGAGGATCCTGAAGTGGCTTAACAAAACACAGGGAACAAGTTCCTTTGGCGCAGCTGGTATCAAAGGTATCGGAAGCTTGGAAGGATATTCACACTTTTCTCCACACCCTGAAAGACTGGTAGCTTTAATAGGGTTATCTCCCACACTAAAACAATTAGACAGGGGAAAGACCAGGATAGCAGGTTGGAGCAATGCTCCTGATATTATTTCTGTCACAGGAATGTTAAGTATGTTCAGTCATTGAATCTGCCCAATTCTAGCATCAGATCCTCAGAAAAATGAGAAACAACTCACTATAAATCGTAAAAAATGTTACAGGCGATCAGGATGTCGAATGGATAAATGACTGATGCTGCAAACCAATGTCATTCTATAGTTTAATTACATACATAAATGCACAAATGAGAGCACTGAGGTTGTGAAGTTAAGGCCTCAACACTTAGAAAGTGCCAGAATTAAGGTTTTCATGCATAAAATTCACTTCCTTCAGCCCCTGCATGTATATGCATTACACGTTCAGTTATATGCTACTCTTTC